TTCTCCTCATCATAGACCTGTACTCTAGCTGTTTGTAATAATATTCCCTGCTGGTCACAGCCAGTATGACCTACAAATTCCCTACTCTCCTCATCATCCTCTTTGCTCCAATTCTCCTTACTTGCATTCCGTCTGCCTGAAGCTGCCTCACAAATGGAAATGTGGTGTTTACCCTTGTTGCACCGCTTACAAACATAAGTTGCCGTACAATTTTTTGCTATATGTCTCGAATCTAAACAAATAAAACATCTCCCTTTTTTCCGCTATAAGTCTTTCCGAGAATGGTGATTCGAGACCTTACTACACCTAGATGGAAGATGTCCCCCCTCATTACAATATACACCGGGGGTTCTACTAGTTTGACTAAATAACCCACTTGCTGTATAGGGCTCCCTTTTCCTGAAATTGTCAGATCTACCATCTGATTTATTACTCAATGAGAAATTACAATCTTCTTGGGCACGAAGCTCATTGTTAAAAAATTCCATGACCTTATCTAAGTTCCATACTTTACCACAAAACTGTCTCGAAATAATCATGTTAATCTCATCGGGCAAGCGGTCCTTTAAAATTGGAATGAGAAGAGAGCCATACCCACTGGTGTCAAGCTTAAGAGATTTCAAGTTCCTCATACAGTTTTCAACATGATTGTACAACATCCTTAACCCCTTAATGTTATCAACCGACTTAATTTTAATAATTTTAAGTAGAGACTCCATATGTGCAGAAATGACCGCTTTTGGCGCAATTGCCAATTTTTGAATTAAAATAAAATATTGTTTATATGGAAATGAGCACCTGCTCATTCCCAAATCTATCCTTTAAAACCTGAACTGCCTCGTGATAATTATCTGAAGTTAAAGTCAACCCTGATATAGCCGAAAGGGCTTCCCCGTTCACACAACCTTTTAAATAATTGAATTTATCAATATCACTTATGTTTATATTACTGTGGATCGACACTTGATACTGATCCCAGAACCCCTGCCAATCTAAGGGTTCCCCCGTAAACTCTGGTAATGCTAATTTTGGCAGCTTACAATGCGCAGGACTTCTATTTGTGCTTAAACCGGCTGCGCCTAAGGAATAACTTGCGCTATTAATATTACTTTGCCCTTGCTTAATTTCTTCAAGTTTCAAATCCGCCGTTGCCAAAACTTGGTGACTAGGTTCTAAGGCTTTCATGTGACGAATAATTTCCGGCTCAATGTCCTTTGGATCTATCAAGGATAATATTTCATTGTGCACAGTCGCCAATTGTTCGATACTACTAATACTAGCCACATTGTTTCTCAACCCAAGGAGTTTAGATTGCTCGCAATCACCGCTTTCCGAAGAAACATACTCGTTTAATTCACTTAAAAGAGTTTTCAAATACGCGTCGAGACCAAGGTGTCTGCCTTTAGCCCTTGCTAATCATTTTTCTCCATCACAAATATGAAATATGAGATACCGACTATACACAATACACACTGTGGACGCGTTTTTACAATACAACGCTACGTATGACAATTATATATAGACACAAAAAATATATAGAATTTCTAACCTTTACTATATCATAAAACCTATACACTTCAGAACAATGCACAACCCCAAAGGGATCTCTCAAAAGGAAAGAATTTACCTCTAACCACGATATCGACCAACCGACACGCTCGCGAATGACTCACAGGCGAGTATTCACTGTAACACTGTCGTCGACTTAAACGCACAATTATTGATACCTCGTATTCCGTATGACGTTCTGCCGTGTCCCCTATCGGGCTCCATGTAAAAAGCACTCTCACACTTGCTTTTTATATAGTTATTTTAATATAAAATAACGCAACATAAATTTACATGTTGTCCGTTTTATCCCAACTAACTTCCGATCGCCCTACGCGTGTATTTTTAATCGTCTCACCACGTGACAGCTCAAGTGACAGCTCACGTGATTATAACAGAACCAATAATGTTATTAAAAGTAAATAAATGTATAATGTAAAACGTCATGCACTAGATTAATGTTTTCTACAACAGCAATACAATAGCCTATATTATACTCATTTTGTAATTTAGTTGCATCGTTTTCAAACCGTCATAACTGCCCATTTTGTAATTTACGTCGTCAAGGACAATTATATGGCTCTATAGATGCGTAAAGGCTTCTATGCTCAATTGTACAATGCATCTATAGGCCACGTATAGACGTTTTTCGTATATACTTTTAGTAACGTTGTCGAGGACAATGTGCCATTGACATTGACTAATTGATTGTACATGTTTAGCCGCCATTGCTAATAGCGACTATTTTGAGTTAGTAACCAGAGCCACGAGGATTCACATCGAGTTATGATTCGAGTCACCGGAGGACTCGTTACAGAATAGATCGTTTTACTGGGATTGCTCTCAAATATAGCCATGCATTTTTTATTCAGTTTTGGTGACTGGTGTTTTACAATTATATAATCATGCATTTATGAAATCGATGTATTAAATTTCCTTAAAATATCCTGAAACCATTGGCAAATACATTTCTATTTTTTATATAATTTTAATTTTCAAACCACTGTATGCATGCATGCATCGTGGACATTGTGAACTTAATTTAATAATATAACACTTGTCAAAAATCGGTCTCCCATACCCAGCTTGTTCGCAGGTGCAATTAAGGTATTCTCCCACCTAAAAAAGTTCCATAGAATTCCACTCCTAATACAATGTCAAATTTACAAATAACGCTAAGATTATCAGATTAACATCATACAAAAATTATAATAATGAACTCTTTATATAAAATCTAGTAATCCACTGACATAATTACAGAAACCTGCACTTATAACACCCGTATTCTAAAAGCTCTCTCACACTCATACTCAATGCATGAGTGGAGGTTCAATCTGAGCTTCTCTTGAGTGTCAGCGATGTTTTTGAATAGCTGCCGGGAATGTGAGTATAGTCACATAGTAACGGTACGACACTAACCCTCCAGCTATTCAAAAACAGCAATGACACTCGAGAGAAGCTCAGACTGAACTTACACTCATTGAGTGTGAGTGAGCTTTTAGAATACGGGCGTAAGACTACTTTCAAAACCATGGCAACGGTACATAAAACGGTTACCAAAATTCGCCTATATTATACAGTATTTCATGCTCTTTCCAATGATGTACTGATTGCGGCACAAGCTCACCAATGTCAAAACGGCAAGGCCGATTAATAAGGTGGTAATTACTTTTGTTTATAAAATTACATTGCGCAAACATCTATATCCCGCAAGCGTTTGGCCCAAAATTAGTCTTCCCCAATTGTTCCCGAACTCGACCATATTGTTTTACGGGTTCGAGTATCGCCATTTTGTTTACCATTTTTTGCTGATGTCACCAATTTTACCCGTAATTTCTACCCGTTTCCCCGCGGTAAACAGTGGTCTACAAGTAAGCGACAAACGGGTACGGGTGTTTTCTCTTTACTATTTTTGGGCTGACTAAATAGTACAAATTTTCAACATCTTACCCAAATAAATAGTGCACATATGCTGGTCAAAGTATTCAACAATTTATGGCGAACCTCAACAGCGAAAGTTGCCATTCTGTGATCGGTTTTCTCACGCCGGTGTATCTTGGATTTCTTAAGTTACAGGTTATTCCCTGATTTACTGCATGGTATGGGTACGTGTATATCACCCGTACCCGTAAACCGGAATCGGGGTATCTTAACCTCTCTATTATCAGCGCGTGGCCCCTTGACCAACCCCC